TTGACTTTTATCTTTTGTTACTTTTTCTAGTTTCTTGATTTAAAAGCTTATTAGCTCATTTATTTTCAATCTCTTTTGCTTTCTAATAAAATGGATTTAAGGCCATAAATTTTCCTTTAAGCACTGTGTTCCTCATCTTTTGCTATGTAGTGTTCATTTTGTTCCATTCCAAGTCCTCCATAATTTTCCGGATGTTTTTCAAGGGTTACTTAGAAGTCTTTCTCCCCTGTCCTACCCTCACCACTTTTTTGTCTTGTGGAAATTTTAAAAACCTAACCTTTGTATTCCTTGACATTCTAACTTTACTGCTTGATGGTTAGAGAACATGGTCTGTATGCTGCTGATTCTTTGGAATCTATTGAGGCTCCTTTGTAGCCTAGGATATGATCAACATTATAACTTCCCATGTTTGCTTAAAAAGAACATGCATTCTCTGTTTATAAAGTCATCTTACTATAAATTTTGTAGTTGTTGCTGTTAAGTGCCATTGAGTCAGTTCTGACTCATAGCAACCCTGTGTAAGATTTCTTAGGAGCAACTAGTGAATTTAAGCCACCAACCTTGCAGTTCAAATCGACTATAGTGTGGTCAAGTGCTTATTTATTTAAATTTTGTAGATTTTTTTTGTATTTGTCTAATGATTAATATGTCAAATCAATCTACATAGTTGATTTGAAAATTATCATTAGAGGTTGTCTAATGCTGCTATTGAGAGCATAGTGGCTCTGTAGGATAAGCACTGGACTGTGAACCACAAGTTCTAGCCGACCAGGCGCTCCGTGGGAGAAAGATGAGGCTTTCTGCTTCTGCAAAGATTTACTACCTCAGAAATCCTATGCGGGGGTGCTCTGAGTCAGAACCGACTCAACAGCACTTAACAATAAAACAATAAGTGCTGCTCTAACAAAAATACCACAAGCGGGTGGCTTTCACAGACAGAAATTTATTTTCTCGAATTTCAGGGTTCCAGCTCTGGGGGTAGGCGCTCTCTCTCTCTGTGCTCTCAGTTTATATTCCCAGGCTCCTTGGCGATAATGTGGCATGCATCTTCCCCTCCATTTGTGGTTGCTAGCTTAATCTACTCTTTTTATATCTCAAAAGATTGGTTTAAGACACATCCTACACAAATGCTGCCTCATTAAGATACCTAATAAAACCCATTCCCAAATGAGATTATAACCAGAGCTATAGAGTTAGGATTTACAACACAGATTATAGAGCGACACAGCTCAACCCATAGCAGTTTTTCATCTCTAAATTGGGTATGGATTTTGCTACGTTTTCTCATCATAAACTCAACAGCCTACTGTTTATGAGTACTTCAACTTGAGATCCTGGTTAGCAGCATAAACACGTAATAAATGAGGATATGGTCTTTGTGTGGTGCTGTGGGGTAATGTGCCAGACTGCAAAGTCATTTGAACTGCAAGGTCGGTGGTTCAAGCTCACCATCGGCTCCTCAGAAACCCTATAGAGGGTCGCTATGGGTCAGAATCTACTCGACAGCACTTCACAACAATGGTCTTTGTGGTGGTGGTGTGCTGTGGAGTCATTTCCAACTCATAGTGTCCTTGTATAGGGTTTCTGAGGCTGTAACTCTTGATGGGAGCAGAAACTTCATCTTTCTCCTGCATGATCTTTGTACTATGATTTTCTTACAGGATTGAAATAAGCAAAAATCAAATACCCGTACTTAACAGGTGAGAATAGGAAGCGTGGCCACTGGAAATAAAATGGCTACTAGAGGTAGGATACTGTCCTTGACTAATTGGCTACAGCCTCTTGGCTAGTCTATCAGTTGATTGAGGAAGGAATTTACATCCCAAGGCTTTCTGATAGCATTCCAAGAGTAAACCTGCCTTTTATGATAACTGGTTGCCATGGAGTTGGTGCTGATTCATGGCAGCCCCAAGTTTGTAAAACTCTCCTCCATAGGATTTGCAGTGGCTGATTTTTCAGAAATGTGGATTCCCAGGCCTTTCTTCTGAGGCATCTGTGGGTGGGCTCAAATCTCCAACCTTTTGGTTAGCAGCCGAGTGTATTAAGTGTTTGTATCACCCAGGAACTTCTTTGACATAGAACACCAGCAGAAACGGAACTTGAGACTAGACTTCCATCTCTCTCTGCCATCTCTTGGTCAAGTTCACTCTGGCAGAAAATAACCTTGATGGAAGGCAATTAACCAGAAGAAGGAACCAGTGTGGTTAATTATCGACAAATAATCAGTCTACCTTTGCTATTAAGAGAATAGACCTTTACAGTCTGCATTCTGAGCACATCCATCTACTGATGCGTCAGTTCCAACCTGCTAGGTGGCTCTTGTCTGACCGACTCTAACAAGAGCAATTTCCACAGAAACAAGAGTCCTGTCAGACTAGAAGCTCCGATTTTACCAGAGAAATCCTGAAAACACAACAGACCTCAAAAGACCTCATCCTGTAATTCTCAGTATACGGCTTCTTAAAGAACACAAAGCAGTATTTCCTCATCTAACAAGCTTTCATAATTTACACGAATGCATAACCAAGTATAACCGGCTTTCTTTCCTTTTACTGATTCAGTCACACTTCCATTTTATTCCTAAAGGCGTTTATTGCGGCTCACATCTTACAAAAGTGCACTGTATTTTTTCTGTCAAAGCCATTTTTCACACACTGCATTACAACAGCTCCAAAGGTGGGTTTCGGCCCCAATGCTTCTCCTTTTAAATGACAAGAAGCGGAAGCCGCGAAGAGCTTGCAATTACTTCGTCCGATCCCTCCTTACAGTCTGCGCGGCCTACAAAACGCCTGCGCCTCCATCAAGCCGGGAAGCCGGGAGGGAGCCTAGTCAGTCGACATGCCACAACACGAGTCAGTCTGGTTCGGGTTGTGAGAGAAGCTCGAGTAAAAACCTCCCTGAAATAAGGCCGCCTGGTAATTAACTATCCCCCAGACGGCAGGGCCTCCGATTAGGTCAAGGATCGAATCCCGAGAGTGTCTAAGGGCGAGAGTTCTTCGTTATGGAACCCTCATGTCAAGAACTGGACTGTAATGGAGCTCTCGCCTTCTCCCGTAGGAGTGGAGACTGGTCTGTGAATTTTCTAGTTAAAGTCTCCAGAGAGCCGCAGACCCGACGCGCGTCTGGAAAAACCCAGAGGAAAAGAGAGACAGTAAGACTTCAGTCCCCGTCCTTCCAACAGCCCCGCCCGACACGTTAGTCCCGCCTGTTCCGCTGACGTCTAATCTCGAAGCCCCGCCTTTCCCGGAAGCTCCACTCCTCCCTGCCACACGTGTGGTCCTGGCATACGCTTCCGCTGCCGGCGCATTTTCTTATTATCCCCAGTAGGTGTGTGGTTCACTTGGCGGCCCCGCACCTTATCTGCCATGGGGCAGCCCAAGAGGAAGGTCCCGGAAGGCCGAGACGGTGGTGCGGCTTTCCCCGCGGGCTCAGCCAAGCGGGCCCGAACTGACCAGCTCACCGGCGTGCAGTTCAAGGCTCAGCTAAGGGACACGCAGGACGCAGGACCAGGTGGGTACGGGACCACGGCCTGGGGCAAGGTGCACGTACTTGCGAGGGGGCAGCGTTTGTGTGCTGGACAAACCCCTTCCATTTTGCAGCTTTTACTTCACTGAGGGTTAGAGCCTGGGTTCCTGTCCCGTAAGGGTCGCCTCGGAATTGCCCACTGAGCTTCTCTTCCCTGAGCTGTCAACAACAGCAGGAGTACCGCGACTTGCTTGTTTTTGACAATCTTGCGTCTCTTGCTTGAGCATTAATCCTTAAAACCTCTTTCTTGGATTTGTCAGTAAAGTAGACGAAAGGTACTCATTCACACAACAAATGCTTTAATTCCCTACTGTGAGTGAGCTCTGGGCTGTTGATTTAGGTTGATCCTCCTATGCACACTCATTTGTCGACAAGCTACTGGAAACCACCACGATGACCTGTGAGTTGACCATGATTGGACCAGTGATTGATGTACAGTCACTGTACATGGAATGTCATTTCATCTTTTGTAAAGTATGCACCTTTCACATCTACTTGTAATTCTTTGCGAAGTATTCAGATTAGATGGAAAAAACATAATTGAACATGAATGTGGAAACATTGTTAAAATGACAGTGACTTTGTCCCAGGTGATAGGAATTTTTAGGTTTATGACCAGAATGTTCTCTCATTTCACATTTCCTTTCATATTTTGTTTTTAATACCTACAACTGCTAGTCAGTGCTAGGAAAATGATACTTGTTTTTAGCAAAGAATGATACATTTCATTCCATTTTTTAAACCGACTCATGGTGACCTCGTGTGTCAGAGTAGAACTCATGGTGTTAGCTCCAGCTGATGTGCCAGAGTAGAACTGTTCCCCATAGGATTTTCAGTGCTACTTCTGGGTGGATTTGAACAGCGCACTTTCTGGTTAATAACCAAGTGCTGAAATTGTTATGCCACCTAGAGACTCTTTAAGTATTTATTATTGTTGTTGGGTGCTATTGATTTTGACTCTTAGTAACCCCATGCAACAGAGCAATGAGAGTTATAATGTGTGTTACAGGTAAAACTCTTGGTAATGTTATTGTTATTAAAGTGCCATCAAGTTAGTTCTGATTCATAGTGACCCTGTGTAGGATTTCTGAGGCTGCAAATCTTTGTGGGAACAGAAAGCCTCATCTTTCTCCGTGGAGCTACTGGTGGGTTTGTCGTTCATAGACCATGTTTAATCTGCCGAGCCACCATGCTCCTAATGTTTCATTTGTTGCTTTAGATGCTGTTGAGTCAGTTTCGTCTCTTTGTGACCTTAGCACAACAGAAACAAACATTGCCTGATCATGTGCTATCCACGCAATCCTTGTTAAGTTTGAGCCCATTGCTGTTGCCACTGTGCTAATCCATTTTTGTTAGGGGTCTACCTCTTTTTCGCTGACCTTCCACTTTACCTAGCATGATGTCCTTCTCCAGGGACTGGTTCCTCTAGATAATATGTCTGAAGCATGAGAGACGAAGTCTCACCGTCTTTCTAAGGAGCATTCTGGCTGTACTTCTTCCAACACGGATTTGTTTGTTCTTCTAGCCGTCCATGATACTTTTAATATTCTTCTCCAGCTCCATATCACAAATGCATCAATTCTCCTACAGTCTTCCTTGTTCATTGTCCAACTTTCATATCATACAAAACTAATGAAAATACCATGACTTGGGTTGTTATTAAGTGCTCTCAAGTTGGTTCTGACTCATAGTGATCCTGCATTACAACAGCTTTGGTTTCTAAAGTTCTCTCTCCATGTAGTGCCCTTTTGTATGGCATAGAGAGGATAAGGAGCTCTGGTAGCATAGTGGTTACGAATTGGGCTGCAAACCGTAAGGTCAGCAGTTTGAAACTGCCAGCCGCTCCGCAGGAGAAAGATGAGGCTTTCTGCTCCCGTGAAGATTTACAGCCTCGGAAACCCTGTATAGGGTCGCTATGAGTCAGAACTGACTCCACGGCACATAACAACAACAAGAGAATAAAGGAATCTCTTCCCAGAACCATGCTTGATGGCAGTACCCATGTACACATGCTGAGCAGTGAGGGTACTAGTACAGATAGGAAAGTTTCCAGTCTATGAGGCTCTCAGGATATGACACTACAACCAAGTGGCCATTAAGGATGTATCCAGGGTTTCTGAGGAGCAGTTGGGCATGGGTTTGGTGCAACTTAGTTCTCAAACTGACATCTTTGCTCTTGAACACTTCACTTTACAGTGGTCTCGTGCAGCAGATTTGCTAAAACAATATATATTTGATTTCTTGACTGCTGCTCCCATGAGTAGATCCAAGCAAAATGAAGTCTTTGACAACTTTAGTCTTTTCTCCATTTATCTTGATATAATTCATTGGTGAGCATTTTTGTTTTCTTTACAATGAGGTGCGGTCCATACTGAAGACTGTGGTCTTTGATCTTCATTAGTAAGCATTCTAAGTCCTCTTTGCATTCTAAGTCTTTCTTTTTCAGCAAGAAAGGTTGTATCATCTGCATATTGCAGATTGTTAATGAGTCTTCCTCCTATCCTAATGCCATCCATGTTCTTCATACAATCCAGCTCCTCAGATTATTTGCTCAGTGTACAGATAGAATAAGTATGGTGAAAAAATACAACCCTGGAGCACACTTTTCCTAATTTTAAGCCGTTCAGTGCCCCCTTGTTCTGTTCCAACTACTGCCTCTTGGTCTATGTACCAGTTCCTCATGAGTACAATTAGGCGTTCCGGGATACTCGTTCTCTGAAATGTTGTCCATAGCTTGTCATGATGCACTCTGACAAAGACTTTGCATAGTCATTAAAGCACAGGTAAACATCTTTCTGATATTCTCTGCTTTCAGTCAAGATCATCTGACATCGGTAGTGATATCCCTCGTTCTATGTCCTTGTGTGAATCCAGCTTGAACCCGTGGGAAGTTCACTGTCAATATACTGTTGCAGACGTTTTTGTTTGTTTTTTACTTTTAAAACATTTATTTTATAAAGTTGAATTTGATGAGGGGAAAAGGTAACAAGATGGGGAAAAAGTAACAAGACACATTTACTGCTTACTGGTAGCGTAGTGGTTATGAATCGGGCTGCTAACTTCAGAGTCAGCAGTTCAAAACTACCAGCTGTTCTGCGGGAGAAAGATGAGGCTTTCTGCTCCCGTAAAGATTTACAGCCTCAGAAACCCTGTACAGGGTCGCTTTGAGTCGGAACCGACTCCACGGCACATAACAACAACAACATTATTTAAGTTATTTGTGACACACCAAGGGAGCTCTGGTAGCGTAGTGGTTACGAATTGGGCTGCGAACCACAAGGTCAGCAGTTTGAAACCACCAGCTGTTCCGCGGGAGAAAGATGAGGCTTTCTGATCCTGTAAAGATTTACAGCCTTGGAAACCCTGCAGGGTCACTATGAGTCGGAACCGACTCCACGGTACATAGCTACCATTATTTAAGTTATTTGTGACACATTAATAAATGTCCAATGTTATTTTAGTATATAAATGCTTTAATTTAACAGACATATCTCTGAGTGAAAGAGATGTTTGTTTTTTTAACTAACAACATAGTTTATTTTCCTTTTTTGGGAATAAATCAGTGTCTCTTTATTAAGTCTTAAACAGAAGTAAACACAGACAAAGACAAGCATAGATCACCTGGGTAAGGGAAATCAGACACCATGATGAGTTTCCAAAGTTCTCTCTCCATGTAGTGCCCTTCTATAGGGCATAGAGAATAAAGGAATCTCTTCCCAGAACCATGCTTGATGGCAGTAGTCATGTATCACATACACATGCTGAGCAGTGAGGGTACCATTACAGATAGGAAAGTTTCCAGTCTCTGAGGCTCTCAGGATATGACACTACAATCAGGCGACCATTAAGGATGTATCCAGGAATGTTCCATAGAGGACTGGCTGGGGGAAGTGGCCCCCAAACCCACTTTGTTTTTTTTAAAGCTTTTATTGTGAATTGAGTGACAGTCTGCAGGGCAGATCATCAGTTTTACATTCAGCCAATCATTGCAATACTTACAGTCCTCTCCATGCACCATCGGCTAACAGTATTATCTCTATTCCACCTCCCCCCCCCCTTTTATTTGGTGTGCACATAAAACATTGAAAATATGTGTTTGTTTAAATGTCCAAAGGACACGTTTTGCAAGTCAGCCTACACTGCCCCCATCTCTGTTGTTGCCGTTTTTCTGGTTAGGATTCCTTGCTCCTCTCATGTTCTAGTCTTGATAGTCCTAGGATCCTCTGTTCCTGAAATGACAGATTAACTACTCCTCCCTTTTGGTAACACCTCTTCTACATTTACAGTTGTGACAATCTCCGTTAGTTCTGATAACAGTTTCTCACAATTGAATCATAAAATCCTATCCCCAGCATCACCAGACCCATCTGGACAAGAGGAAAAGTATTCAGCAGGTATTGTATCTTACCCCACTTGCTCTGACCCTAACCACCCTCATGAAAACTTGTCGGCCAGTCACTTTGTGCCTTTATAGCCCCCCAATTTTGATAGCTGAAGTCTAAGTTGCCCATCTCTATTAACCCAGTGTACTGGGAAGGCACACTGGATCCTTGATATGAAGAAACCTTCCCTTTGAGTTGGAATTTTGGGCCGCTTCATCCATAAGCAAAGGTCCAGTGGATGGGGTTGTAGCAATTTATGCTTGCTTCCTATACCAAACTTCTTTAACTTCATCTAATTGAGTTCTGCTCAGTGTTGCAGTCATTTTTGAATTATCTTTAGCAAGAATTTACTTGCTTGTGATAGTAATGGTATTGTCCAGTGATTTCTACATGGAATTGGGTTACCTCTCTTTGGAATGGCCACAGATATGAATCTCTTTCAGTTGGCCAGGTAGCTGGCTATCTTCCAAATTTCTTAATTTAGATGAGTGAGTGCCTCCAGTGCTGCATGGGTTTGTAGAAAGATTTCAGTTTGTATTCCATCAGTTCCTGGAAGCTTGTTCTTTGCAAATGCCTTCAATACAGCTTAGACTTCTTCCTTCACTACCATTGCTACCATATGCTACCTTCACTATCATATGCTACCTCTTGAAATGGTTGAATCCCAACCATTCCTTTTTGGTAGAGTGACTCTGTGTACTCCTCCCATCTTCTTTTGATGCTTTTTTGCGTCATTCAGTATTTTGCCCATAGAGTCTCATAATATTGCAAGTTGAGACTTGAATTTTTTCTTTGGATCCCTCAGCTTACAAAACTCTGAATGCATTCTTCCTTCTTGATTTTCTAACTCTGCACATTTCATTGTAATCCTTGTCTTCTCAAGCTGCCCTTTGAAATTTCCTGTTCAGCTTTTTTGTCTCTTCATTTCTTCAATTTGCTTTAGCATTTCTACACTGGTGAGCAAGTTTCAGAGTCTCTTCTGATATCCATTTTGGTCTTTTCCTTCTTTCTTGTCTTTTTAATGACCTTTTGCATCAAATGTGTTCTTTAAATGATGCCTAAATCCAGGTGGGATTTATTCAAGATCATATTTTGGCTCTCATGGACTTGTTTTAATTTTCTTCACCTCCAGCCTGAATATGAGCAATTGATGGTTTGTTCCACAGTCTGCCCCTGGCCTTGTTTTGACTGATGATACGGAGTTTTTCCACTGTCTGTTCCCACAGATGTAGTCAATTTGGTTTCTATGTATTATATCTGGTAAGGTCCATGTGTAGCACTGTGGGCTAATGCGCTGGAATGCAAAGTTGGTTTGAACCTCAAGGTTGTCATTCTTTGGCAACGCTATACAGGGTCGCTATGGGTCGCAACCAACTACACGGTACTTAACAACAACAATAGGGTCCAGGTGCATAGTAGTCTTTTATGTTGTTTAAAAGAAGTATTTGCAATAAAGAAGTCATTGGTCTTGGAAATTTTTTATCATGTGATCTTCAGCATTGCTTTTATCACCGAGGCCATATTTTTTCCTATTGACCCTTTCTCTTTGCTTCCAACCTTTGCATTCCAGTCACCAGTAATTATCAGTACATTTTGATTACATGTTTGATAATTTCAGACTGAAGAAGTTGGTAGAATTCTTCAGTTTCATCATAGGCTTTAGTGGTTGGTGTATAAATTTGAATAACAGTTGTATTAACTGTTCTTCCTTGTTAAGTGTTAAGTGCTGTCAAGTTGGTTCCGACTCATAGTAACCCTGTAAAGGGTTTCCGAGGAGTAACTGGTGAACTTGAACCGCTGACCTTGAGGTTCAAACTGACCTTGTAGTCCAGTGCATTAACCCACAGAGCCACACCAGGACTCCATTCTTCCTTGTAGACATACGGATATTATCTTTTCACAGACAGCATTCTACTGTAAGAGATTTCTTGAAATGTTCTTTTTGATGATTGATGCCAATGCTGTTCCTCTTCAATATGTCATTTCTGGCATAGTAAACCATATTGTTAGATTCAGAATGGCCAGTACCAGTCTATTTCAGCTCACTTATGCCTAGGATCTTTATGTGTTCCATATCATTTTGACAACTTCCAATTTTCCTGCATACATATACTTCCTGCAGTCCATGTTTCCATTATTAAAGGGTGTTTACAGCTGTTTCTCCTCATTTTGAATTATGCTCCAGCAGCAAATGAATATTCTGAAAGCTGTATTCCTTTTGTGTTATCACTGTCAACTCTCCTTGGAGGAGGCAGCTCTCTTTCCCTGTTGTATTTTGAGTGCCTTCCAACCTGAAGGGCTCATCTTCTGGCATTATATCTGACAATATTCTTGTGTTTTTCATCATGTTTCAATATTCAGTATTCTGGTGCTGACAGTGTTCTACAGCTATTCATAGGATTTTCAGCGGCTAAATATTCCGAAGTTGCCAGTCTCACCTTCTTCCTAGCCTGTCTTTGTCTGAAAGCTCACTGAAACCTGCCCTTGATGGGTGACCCTCCTGATATTTAAAATACCAGTGGCATAGCTTCCAGTGTCACAGCAACACACAAGCCACCATGTTATGTCAAACTGACAGACGATTTATGGGGTGCTTCATTACTACATCATAAATCATTACTTTTTTTGTAATTTCCATTCCATAGAAGACAGAATTGAGACTTAGAGGGGGATCTAGGTGAGGAATTGTGAGAGCTAGGATTCCTACTTAGAAGTTACCTCGGCTCTCTGTGGGTTATCGGTCTCTTAGCTGTGGGAGGGTTGGGGAGCAGACACTGCCTAGAGTAGTGAGGTACAGTGGCAGTGGCTGTAATTGTTTCTAAGGAGTCTCTTAGATTGAAGACTGTTTTTGTTGTTGTTGTTAAGTGCTGTTGAGTCAGTTCTGACTCAGAGTTACCCTGGATAGTTTTTACGAGGAGCATCTGGTGGGTTTGAACTGCCAGTCTTGGTGTTTGCAGTTCAGTGCTTATCCTACAGCATCACACCAGGACTCCTTGTTAACTTGAGAATGTAACTTTTATTTCAGTCTTGGAAGCATTTGTCTCTGCGGCCAAGAAGCTACCACAAGAAGGGGTGTACGATGTCGTGGAAGGATATATAAAGATTTCTGTGGAGTGTGCAGAACTTTTTCAGCTCTTGAGTGGAGAGAAACACCCTGAAAGTGAAGTATGTTGTTCCTTAATTGGCTGATAATGTGAAGAAAGTTAATTCTATTGTTGTGTTTAAGCTTGATGATGAGAAATGTGTTATAAATTCCCATGACATTGCCAACTTTCTACAGAAAACACTGCTTTGTCCCTGTTCTACAGGAATGCATTCAGTTTTACATTCATGACTTTTAAAAGCGTTTTAATAGAAAACACTAGCTTAATATTTGGTGAATAATAACTGAAGGATCGTAGATTCTTAGAATCTAAGGGTACTTGATATCAACATGGTTTGTTTTAACAAAAAAGTTAAAAATTTTGTCACATTAAGAAATGTGCTGTTACCTTCTGGTTCCAGGCAAGTTAAAAATTTAGGCTATTTATGAACCATTTGAAATCTCAGAGTTATTGTTGTAAGGCTGTGTGGATCTGAATATTCCGAAAGCCACAAGGCCTAATTGTCTATAGAATTTACTCTCTTCATTTCAGTTTTGTGTAATTATAAGCAAGCTGTTGTCTGTTATATGTACAGGAGGAAAAGAAATAAGATGATTCATAAATGTTTTCATCCTGTCTTTCCAGACACAACTAATATTTCAAGTTTTCGAGGCCATATTATTGCGAACAGCAAGTGACCTTTCACATTTTCATGTTGTGGGGACCAACATCGTGAAAAAGCTCATGAATAACCATATGAAGCTCATCTGTGAGTCCCTGTATGCCTCAGGTTACAGGTAAGTCCCTGTGTGCCTGCCTTTTAGGCCGCCAAATCCGCCTTTGTGTTGGTGTGTCTTCAGCTCTATGAAAGAGCAATTGACCTTTACGTTTAGTCCTCATGGAGACCTAAGCCATTTTCTACAACCTCACCTTATGACCTCCTTCCTCTGTCTTTGGGTTTCCCCAGGAAGACTTCAGAAGTGTCACCTCAGGGAGCGTTTTTGACCTACTGTGTCTGTTAGCATGCCCACTGTCACTTTCTGCCCCTTTCCCCTGCTGATTTTTCTCCATAGCTTTCTATTTGTGTGTTGATAAATTTGACGTGGGGGCAGTGGTGGTTCAGTGGTAGAATTCTGGCCAATCAGTGCACCTCATCTGCAGCCACTACCCACGTGTCTGTGGAGGCTTTTGTGTTGCTTTGGTGCTGAACAGGCTTCCGTGGAGCTTCCAGACTTAAGACGGACTAGGAAGAGAGTCCTGGCAATAAGCTTTCAGAAACCAGCCACTGAAAACTCTTAAAGATCACAGTAGAACATCATCTGACCCTGGGGATGGCACAAGACCGGGCACTGTTTGTTCCATTATGCATGGGGTTGCCATGATTCAGGGCCAACTTGATGGCAGCTAACCAACACCACAGTCTTTATTTTTTGATGCTGTCTCCCTCCATTAGAATGAAAGGCGCACAAGGTCAGGACTTTGACTGCCTTATAAAGCTGGGCCTGCTATCTGCGCAGTACCTGCAGTGGGGCCTGGGATAGCAGAATGGAAAGACTTGGCAGCTTTCTTGGTACCCAGGCAATGAGGCCTTTCTTTGTGTCTTGCAAGCACAGGGATGAGATTTGACTCTGTCAGTTACACAATGATTTCCTTAGTGGTAAACTCCCATCTCTACGTGTCTTGGGTTTTGTACTTGTGGTCCTCCTTGGTCTCATTTTTTTAACTTTTTAAAAGTTTTTGTCATGCTTTTATTTTGTTGTTGAAAACATATATCCCCTTCCTTTCTTTCTCTGGTTTGGGGATAATACATCTTAGAACCAGGTATGTAGTTTTTCATGGTGAAGTGGCTTTGGGCTTTGCTGCTTCTGATGTGACTGATTCCCTTGTTTTTATGCAGGTTGGCTCGAGCCTGCCTGAACCTGATGGCAGCCCTGGTGGCCCAGGGGACTGAAGCTGCCAGGGACGTCTGCAGCCACTTTGATTTGAATAAAAAGCCCTTATATGCCCTGGTCACCAAGCGGGATTCAAAGGTGAGGAACTCCGAGGGTCTTGTAACCTCACATATGTCTTCTTTCCTTTCAGGAGACTGTAGTGGTTTACCTTTTCCCCTCCTGCAACCTCAGTCCTCTCATTGGTGTGTAGAGAGAGTGGGAGGCATCTTTCTGGAGAAATGTGTGCCTTGGAAACCACTGGAGTCTATGGGGAATGAAGGGCACTTCTTGCCAGTGGTGGGGCCCCAGTGTGTGATAGAGTCCGAATAGTGGGGATACTGGACTGGTTCTCTGGGGGTACTCCACATGGAAGTGGCTTGTAGAATGTTCTCTTATTGTTAGGTGCCCTCAAGTCAGGTCAGACTCCCAGGAACAGAAGTGGAATTGTGTTAGCTAATCTGTGAATGTTTGGTAAAATTCACCAGTAAAGTCATCTGAGCCCGGACTGTTTTGTTTTGTTCTTGTTTTTTTTTTGGCGGCGGAGGTATTAGTGATTTGATCAAATTTTTTTTTGTTGTTATAGATCTAGATGTGTTCAAGTTTTCTACTTCTGTCTGTGTTAGTTTACATAGATTGTATACTTCTAGAATTTTGTCCATTATAGGTTTTCAAGTTTGTTGGAGTAAAATTCTTTGTAGTATTGTGTTACTGTCTTTTTTATTCTCATTGGTTCTGTAAGATGCTGAATAGCTTTTAGCATAGCTCCTATACTGAGATAGACTAGAAAGAAACACGTGGTGGTGATCAACTTCCAAAATTCACACAATGAAAACCTTATGGGTCACAACAACCAATTATGGGGATGGACAGCACCAGCAGCATTTTGTTCTTGTGTGCATGAGTTCCTCATGAGTCAGCAGCTAACAACAACAACCACTGCCAGGTAATCGATTTAGTGTTCATTCATAATGATAAGGCCAGTCAGTAACTTCTATGGCTTTGTGAGGCTGGCTGTGTGTAGAGCATTTTACTGGAATTGTAAGTAAGGTGCTTTCTGAAGAAAAAGAAATCTACGTCTTGGTTTCTTATAAAAATTATGCTTTACGAACAAATCAGTGATCCCGTTCAATGAGTAATGGCTCCTGACATTTAAATGTATTTTTAATAAAACGAATATGTGTGATGTTGGAACAGTAAAGCAAATCTCATGGTTCTTTGGTCTTACTGTAAGCCTGGCAGCTATTATCCCCCCATCGTTCACCCTTCCAACTTCTGTCCCTTTTGACCACAACCATTCCAGCCACCTAAGTAAAATACACTTATACCCCCATGTCACCCACCAAGTCTGGACAACAAGGGGCTGCCCAACTGCTCTCCCACTCCCTTCCCCCAGCTGCACCAGAGCCGCCTCACTCCAGGGCCTCAGGGCAAGTTACTTCACATCTGTGGGACCTGTAAAATGGGTGCCGTTGTCGAGATGAAAAATTTTACTGTCTTTTGTGTAACTACAGTAAGTAACTTAAATACTTATTATAGTTTGGGAAACAGTTTCTAAACACTTAAAAAAAATTCTTTTTAATAGGAAGTGTCAGGGATAATCAAAATTAGGGACAAACACACAGTGAACCCTCATATGCCTGTTACCCATCTTTAGTAGCCATCCAGCCCTCCTAGGTTTTCAGCTGTGATATGAATCATATTTCCTCATAAATATTTCAGTGTGTATCTAACAGGAAAAGAGCTTTTGAAAAAGAAAGCCATAATACCATTATCACACCTCACACAATTAATAATTTTTCAGTATCTTCTAATAATACAATTCAGTTTGGGTGTTTCCTTTCTCAAAAATGTCTTTACATCTCGGTAGTTCAAATTAGCATTCACACATTGCATAGGCTTATATGTCGTCTCTCTGAGTTGTTGCTTTCTCCCCCTCCCTCCCAATGACAGTTAGTTGTTTATGATACTAGTAGATGTATTTTTTAATGAGTGTGTTTCAAGATTTGGGAGAGAATTATTAAAATCTCCAGAAGATGAAAGATGATGTTTGTATTCATCTAGCCAAAGAAAGCATTGTTAAAAACCCTGTGCCAAAGAACAGTTTTACCAAATATGCTTTGGTCTATTTTAGACAGTGTTTTGCAGAACACGCCTAAAAAGAGTTCAGGACATTTTCTTCCTGTATAATAACCCTGTGAGGTTACCGGGTAGGAATGAGGCCTGTATCCCTTTCAGTGGGAGGAGGCTGCCTTCGATCGAGTGTGCTAGAGACAGGATGGAGACCCAGGTGGCAGTGAGAAGGCTGTGTGTGGCCAGTTAAATGAATTGGCAGTGTGGTAGTGGCATCTGTAGTGGGGGAAGAGACTTTGTCTTGAGGAGCTCATCGAGAATGTCACAAACCCAGACATCTGGTGTTGTTTGGGATACAGAAGTGGGTTTCAGAAAATTTGTGGAAAAAAGGAATGAAAAGATAATGGAATTTTTCCATGAGCTTTTTGAAGCACCCTTGTACAAAGGGGATGCCAAGAGTTGACAACTAAATTTCTTCTCGTTTAGAAACTCATTGCTGGAGGGATCCTAGAGAGGACCGATCCCAACTCTGTTGTTTTAAAGCTCTGATAGAAAGTTCTAGAAGCATGGCGATTCCATCCATGCATCCATGACAATTAACTGGGACCAGCATTCCAGTGTCCTGACTCCCACTTCTGTTATTTCAGTGGCCAAAGAACCATGTGGGATCTTTCTACTAGAAGAGAAAGGATAAGACTAAGTTAATTTTGCTTCGCAAGTTTTTGTGGTGCTATGGGTTAAGTGCTAGACTGTAAAGCCGTTTGAACTGCAAGGGCGACAGTCCAAGCTTACCAGCTGCTCCTCGGAAACCCTATACTGGGTCACTATGGGTCGGAATCGACTCGACGGCACTTAACAACAACAAAATCAGCAAGTTTTAGCTTGCTATTTTTTTTTAAGTATTATTTTAAAATACAGAGTATATATATATTAGGATAACAAATTAACTGGACTTGAATTGGACAAAGTGTTTATTTGAACAATGAGGTACTTGTGTAACCTGGGAATAGTGATTACTTAAAGCTGCCTCGTTGCTTACCCAGAGAGCACAACATCTCGAATGTGATTGGTGTTTGATAAACGTTGAGCAGGTGAGTGAAGGCACTCCAGTACTGCAGACACTCAGGACATGCAGCTCGTTCTCAGGACTTTAATTACCATGGTGCCCGAGATCTGTTTTATAAAGAGGCCTGGAGACTCCAAAAAAGAGAGGCTGGTTGATGCCATGATGCTATGTGATGTGCTCTGAGATGTGGTGCCTACAACAAATGTTGTGACGTCTTGATCCAGCTATAAGAGAGCATAGGTTGGCCATGACCTTCCTCTTCCCCTAGAGAAACATGTACCCAGGAAATGAGATAGTATTAATTAAGTACTATAGCTGTAGGATAAACACTGGACTGCTAACTCTAAAGTTGATGGTTCAAACCCACAATCTTCTCCTCGGGAACCCTATATTGGGTCACTGTGAGTCAGAGCCAACTTGATGGCACTTACCAACATCAACAACATCACGGAGTCCTAGATGGTACCACGTGTGATCCTTGCACCTTGAGAAGTGAAGTGAAAATGCCATTGGAGCTCCGAGAAGAAGGGAGCGCTTCTGGGCTGGTGTTCATGCCCCAGCATTGAGCACTACGTGTGTAAATTGTTTCTTCTCATCCCAGCACCAGGACAGGCTCTCTTTGCATGTAGCCTGAGGGACCTTGAACGAGTTACTCAGGTCTGTCCTCAACTGTAAAGCGGGGATGGTAAGTCTTGTGGAATGAATGATGTCTCCCAAAGTAGGTATTGAAAGTGGGGATGGTAAGTCTTGTGGAATGAATGATGTCTCCCAAAGTAGGTATTGAAATCTTGGTTTCTGTGTCTATGATCCTGTTTGGAAAAAGGTTCTCTTTTTTTTTTTTAGTTTTTATTATGAATTGAGTGATAGTTTACATGGGAGAACATCAGTTTTACACTCATCGTTTCGTTGTAATGATTACAATCTAAGAGGTTCTCTTTTTTTATGCTAAGGAAGCCACACCAGTGTGATCCTAAACCTGATCACTTCTGAAATATAAAAAGACCAGAATAGACACACAGACATATATGGGAAGACAGACACCAGGTGAGGGTTGACTGAAAACCATTGAATCAAGGCATGCCCCAAGTTGTTAGTGTCACATGCCAAGATCTTGTTTGAGATTTTTAGCCTCCAGAACTGTGAGAAAATAAATTTCTGTTCTTTAGAGCCACCCGCCTGTCAAGGTATTTGTGTTCTTGTAGCACTAGGAAAAGGACAGCAACCTTCCCTTTCTTAAAGTTGTTTTGAGGAATAAGTGAGATAACAGTTGTGACACATCTGGCATAGCGTCTGGTATATAGTAAGTGCTGAATAAATGTTTTTATTATTGTCATTTTCATCATCATCACTGCTACCACCACCTCTCACTACTGTGTAGTTTCTGGAAGACAGATCCTTCTGATTGTTTCCAGACAATCCAGACAGTATTCTCCGCAACACTAACTTAACTTCCTGTCAGTGGAGTAGCTGTGGCATAGAGAAAAGCCTTCAGCTGGCTCAGTGCAGCTGATACTAGACCTGTATGACCAAGTACCCTGGCCTCCTTGGATGCAAATCAAGATTGATGAGATTTTGTTTTGTCTGAAAGTTGCTGGAAGAGAGAGCTCAGATGGCCCTGGTGACTTCTAAGATATGTTGACTACTGTTCCTGGTCTTTGGGCCTTTGCTGAGGATGCCTTCAGTCCTGGGTTGTGGCAGACGCATAGTGTGACCTGCAATCTGGCGTAGCCATAGGCCGGGTTCATTATCCAACAGCATTTGTGCTTTGGTTTCTGGTATGTGTAGATAACTTACTTATTTTTGTTGTTGTTGTTATGTGTCATCAAGTCTGTTCTGACTCATATTGTCATGTGTAGGGTTTCTGAAGAATGGCTGGTGAGCTTGAACCACTGACCTTGCGGTCCAGTGTATTAACCCATAGTGCCACACCAGGACTCCAACTTATTTATAACATCTAATAAAAACCAGATGTTGCCTCATCTAGTTTCACCAAAGCAACACTAACTTGACCATAGGGTCGCTATGTGTCGGAACCGACTCGATGGCACCTAACAACAACAACATGTATTACTTGTTTGAATGGGGAGAAAAGCGCAAACCCAGTGCTGTTGAGTTGATTCTGACTTACAGCAGCCTGTAGGGCCGGGTAGAATTGCCCCTTAGAGTTTCTGAGAATGTACAGCTTTACGGAAGTGGCTGGTGGGTTTGAACTGCTGACTTCTGTTTAACAGCCAAACACTTTAAGCACTTAAGAGGACCCTTAATTGCTTTTTACCCATATTTATGAATTTAGACTAGGACTTGAAAGAGAAGGAAAAGTGGTAAAGCAGAAAACTGAGGTGGAAAGTGAAGGCAAAGCATTTGTTTTCCTTTGAGACAAGACAGTTGGTTTCAGAGTCATACCCCTGAAGACGGTGCAGGACTGAGAGACCTCTGTGGCATTGGGACAGGAGGTGGATGCCGCCCACTGTACTCCGGCCTGGGTTGGGGGTATGTGTGCGTCTCTACAGATGACACATGAGCCTTCTCTCCCTCTAGGGCGTGCCTGACGTGCGACTGGCATACATCCAATTTGCCCTTTCCTTCTTAATTGCTGGTGATGATAACACCATCGTGCAAGTGCTTGAGGTGAAAGGTAGGTGTTTGTTCTCCTTTTCCCTTGGACATTCTGCTCATAATTGCTTTAAAAAATCGAATGTGAACCATTTTCTGCAGGTTAAAAATCTGCATCCATTGCCACTGCCATGTGTGTTTGAATGAAGGCCTTCAGTGTGGTGAAGCTCTGGTCAGTGTGGTTTTCAGATCCCTATTCCTGCTGTGCCATCTGGGATACTGAGTGATCTCCAGCAGAGGAGGAGCAAATCTCAGGGAGGCAAACTTGTGCAGACAGGCGACTCGGTGGCCCCAGATCAACACCGACTCAGAGCCCTGGCTACTGGGCTTACCCTCATCATCAGGCTTTAAACATAGAATCCATTTTTAGTGCCTTTATCAAGTGTTACAGCAAGCAGACAGGACTTCAGAGAATACCAACTTGATTATCTGTGTGTGGGCATAATTGGTCTTCACTTTTGTTTTATTAAGAGGTTTAGTAAGACAGTAAAAGGCACCTAGGCTGTGCTTGGCACCTGGCAGATGTTAAGTAACCCATGACACTAGATCATGCCATGTCTGGAGGGGAGGGGTGGTGGGCCTATGTCCTGGCTAGAACACACACAGCTGCTTAAGGAGGAACAATGTGGGGCTTGGAGCACTTGAGGGACCAGACAGAATTCTAAGCTCCCTCCAGAAGGTGACTGCCAGGGCCATTTTAGAGAAGGGGTTGGGGTGGTCAGTGTAGGTAGGCAGCTCAGGTCTGTGTTGGCCACTCTGTTGCTACTGTGGATAAGGTCAGCAGCAGAGGACACATTTTTTCCTGTTTAGTGCTGAGCCTTGTGTGGGGTGCTTTTTTCTACCTTTCAGAAGGGCTAGCAGTCTCTTCAGAATTCCCCTGGGTCATCTAGCCATTTTATTAAGGATAGTGACTTGGGAGTACTCTGTCCATGTTGCTAATGAGGTAAGAATGTATTTCAGAATACTGTTTCTGGAGGACAGTTTGGATGACAACATCAAAACTTTAAAAATGTGTGACCCAGCACTTCTACCTCTAAGGAAATAATGTAAAAATCTGAATAGAGATTTGGTTATATGTTTGTTTTTGTTTTTTTCATTTAAGCTAAACATTTAAATTCTTCCACCTATCATTTATGGACATCATTCTAAACATCTTTAGACAAGTATGGGAGCCTCTTGGTGGTGCAAATGATTTTGCACTTGTCTGCTAACTGAAAAGTTGGCAATTTGAATCTACCCAGAAGTTCCTCAGAATAAAAGCCTGATGATCTTCTGGGGAAAAAAATGGTTATATGGAAACCCTCTGGAGCACAGTTCTGTGTTGACATGAATCAGAACCAGTTTCATGATAACTGGTTTTGGTTTAAGCTAGTATGTGGTGGCTTTGAAAAGTTTGTGGAAAAATTCCATTATCATTTCATTTGATTTTTTCATGAAGTTTTTGGAGTCCCCGTGTATTATGCAGAGAGAATTTTTAGAAACGTGGAAACATAACATAATACTCTTTTTTTTTTGTAAGTAATTAATATATTATGAAGCATGTGCCAGGTTATTGTACAAAACACCGCACGTCTTTGAGCTCATTAATTACATGAAGTGAATCCATTTAAGCTACTTATTAACAAAAAGGTCAGCATGCAGCAATTAAGTCAACTTCCATCACTGAAGGATGTTTCTCAATCCATCTGTTGATATTAAAACCATGTGGGCCTTCAAAGCATTTTTCCAAATGTTTCTTTTTATCAACTGAAAAATTTTATTAATAACCAAAAGGATTTCAAAGGTTACATCTGAATATTAAATAACTATCTAATCTCTAACAGCTGGAATGGGTAAGACTTATTATTTTTGGAAAAAATAAAACCACTAGCCTGTAATACATTCTGTTTGAGTTCCTGCAATAGCAAACTCAGTCTTCCCAACATCCAGAGCAGATTATTTTGAATAGTCCTCCTCTAAATAACAAAATAATTTTCAGTAATAAAATCTATGACGTATTCCTAAAGAGCTACAAACATTGTATTCATTTTCTCCTGTTTTGATTTTCTAATTAATTTTTTTAAATGTTTTATTGTGAATTATGTGATAGTTTACATGGGAGAACATTAGTTTTACATTCATTCTATTGTATATCGTTTCATTGCCATGGTTACAATCCCCTCCATACGTCATCAACCAACCAAAGGTTATACCTTGCAAGCCTGCCCCCCCACAGCCCCCCGGTCTTCAGCACTTAGTCCCTCTCTGGATCTGAAGTCCCCAGCTGCTCCATCGCTCCATGTCATCGTCTCTGCCTCCATCTCAGACATCGCTGCTTCTCTGGGTAGGGTCCCACTCTCCGCTCTTCTCCCTTGATGGTCCTAGGGACCTCCGCTCCTAGACTGGAAAGTTAATCACTCCCCTTCTTGCTGTAAAACGTCTACCTTTACATTTCCAACCCTCACAATCAATCCTGATAACAATTATTCACTATTGTATCACAAGAGACACGTTTGCATTTCATTTCATCAGCCCCACCTAGACAGATTGGATACTACTCACTGGAGATTCT